GAATGACTCTCTCCACATTCCATTCCTCTGCCCTTTCCCAACACACTTGCCACTACTGCCTCCATTTACATCACCAGCTTTCTAGTTTGCTCTCTCTTCATCTCCAAATAATGATGTCCTGATATTTTAACTCTAGGATCCCCAGACTGGTATGTTACCCTGCAAGTCTCAATGTGCCCCCTCCTTTCTAGCTTAATGCATTCAGACTGCTGTCCTGACCTCAGGATCTTTCTCTTGTGAATTGCTCCCAAGGATAAACCCAATAGTTAGGGCGGGGATTTACATGTCTTAATGTTATCCGGCACAATCCAACCAGTCTCCAATGCTGAAAGATTCAGAGAATTTTTTTTTTTCTTTTTTAGCTCCTCAGTCAACTTTTCTAAACTTGGAATAATAAGGTCTACTTTATGGGATGTTATGAGGATTCATGACAGGAAGTACAGGAAAGTAATTAGCATAGTGTTAGTCAGCATTTGACTAAAGGAAGAAATAAAAATATAAATAATGTCCTGTCCAGTTATGGAGGAGGCTAAACTAAGCCTTTTGTATTTTCTTTTAAAGTTCACTAGATTTAGGAACAGATACTGATACTGAGACAGCTGAACTGCTATTAATTATCTCTGAGAAACTGAAGAAAGGAAAATATACTACAAGATTAGACAATTGACTTTCAAAAGGGAGCATTAAATATGACAAAAAGCTGAATCTGATGTAAAAGTGTGTTTGACTAAATCTTAGGTAAGACTCTGGAAAAGATTATCAGTGGTTTGTGAGCATCCAGGAGAGGAAGCAGTGGCCACCAGGACTCAGCACGGATGCACCCAGACCACTGCATGCCAGACCAGCCTTGCTTCAAAGTGCAAATATGCTGGTGCATCAGAGAACATATAGACAGAGATGTACTTGGGCTTTGGCATATTTTATAGGGCTTTTCACCACATTTTTTGTGGGGAAAAAAAATAAGGTTAATTAAGTGGATTAACATCTGATTATAATAAAAGAAATAATCAACAGATCACTGTGACCCTGAAGGGCTTGATAATGGAAGGCCAGAGGGCTCTGTCCTGTCTCCTGTCCTTTATGACATTTAACAATCACTTGTATGAAAACAAAATGTATATGTAAAACAAGTAATGCTTATCAAATCTGCTGCTGACACAAAATTGGGAGGTATAGTGAATATATTCTCTGACAGTACCAGGATCACAAAATATATGCTCAGGTGTTACCTCTTTCAGGAAGGCTTCTGTGATAGTCCACGCTGTCCAATACCCAAGGGGTATTCGGGCCCCCCCTTTCTGTTCCCAAAAGAACTGTATGTATTCATCAGTTACTGTACCTGCCTGCCTTGCATGTCTTCCTATACACAGGCAGTTGGTCTTGTGTCTCTATCTTCCTAGTTCCTCTCACAGTGGGGAGAAGTCACCTGTGAATGTTTGCTTCCTTAAAGAAACAGTGATGAAAACCTACATCGAGGCTGAAACTATAACACTGAAATGTAATGAAAATAAATATAAATCCCTGCCCTTGGAGCATCCCCCAAAATGAAACAATCACAAGATAGTGAGTAGGTGGCTTTACTCATAGCATGCATGAAAAGGAAAAAGCGTGTTTAGCAAGAAAAAACTCGCCTTAAAAGTCATACGATATCACTGCTTTACCCTTCCCCCTCCCAAATTCAAAGCTAAGGTGATCTTCATCTGCTTGAATGAGAGTATGTATCACCTAAAACAAAGGATGTGAGAGTCCCTCTCGGAGCTAATTAGACCATACCTTGGGTACCATGTTAAAGTTCTGAACAATACATTTCAAGGAGGAAATCGACAAACAGGAAGGAACTTGTTCAGAGGAGAGCCACCAGGATTATGAAGGTTCTGAAAATCTTAAAATAGTCATTCATTTCTTCAACTAATACACAGTTCAACAACTGTATATTAAGCATGTAGTATTTCCTAGGCAGTATACTAGGTAGTGAATGGTAGAGAAAAAAAAAATCTCTACAAGCAATTGAAGGAAATAAAGATATCTTGTGAAAATAAACAAAGACCACCCAGTAAGAACAAATGAAGGCTATTTATTCAAAGATTTCTATAAAAAGGGAGTCAGCTATCACTTGCATTTGGCAGACTCAAAGACAGGCAGGAGAGTGGGAAGGCTTAACAGTGAAAAACCAGAAGGCTTCAGGTATGCCTCAGCCCTAGGCTGTCGACATGGGGAAGGTAGAGGCAGGATCGTTAGAAGCAGGGCCTCCTATGTGATTGGTTTGGGGAACATATTTGCCTTTCTCTGGTTGGTCCTGAGTTGGAAGTGGAGGCAAAATTGGGGAAGCTGTCAGTCACTGACCAAGTCTTGACCATTCTAGGACTGTTGCTGCAAAGGTTTTGGGTCAGAATCCATTACCGCATATTCTGGCATTGTCTGTTAGTATGTTCAGTCTCAAATATTGAACATTGAGAAGACTCAGGAAGAATCTGGAGGTACACTGATAACTGTATTCAGCGTATTGATAACTGTATTCAAGTATTTTATAGTCTACGGTGTTGAAAAGGCATTTGTTCTCAATGGTTACAATGGATCAAATTAGGACCAGTGGATGAAAAAGTTCTTCAGTATAAGAAAGAACTTTTAAAAACCCACTTCTGTCTAGATGCAATCTCAGACAGTGGTTACCTGCTAAAGGAAAAGTTCAGACCTAGGCTGGGTGACCTCTTGGCAGTGATATTACAAAATAGATCACAAACTTCGGCATGCACCAAGTGGCATATACTTGATACCTTTGTTACCAATGCAGAATCTGGGCTCTGTCCTAGATTTGCTGAATCTGATCAGTGGGGTATGATAGATGATTCTGTCCAGAAACATTTGTGGAAGGTATGCAAACACTGAATGGGTAGTTGGGCTAGATGACTTGTAAAAGCCCTTCCACCTTGAAGTCTAATATTCTGACTTTTGCATATTGTAGTCATAACCAGGAAATAAACACTTTGTTCACTTATTTAACAATACTGATTGAGTAGCTCATATTATGCCACACTCTACTTTAGGCCTATATTTTAATTCCATTAGCATGATGCATTCCTATATGCCAAGGAGATAGTAATGGAAAAACTCGTTTGTTGACTCTTCAGAGATTTATTGAGCATCTGCTATGTGCTGGAGCACTGTGCTAAGCCTTGGGGAGATGGTGATGAACAAGACTGACGTAGTCCTTTTTCTTTCAGAGCTTACACCAGCAGATAAAAAATAGACAAAATGTGTTTACAGTAAGGGGTGATACATGTTGTTATGAAATAAAAATGGTGTGAAAATCATTCTTTTTGTTCTGTTGTTTTTCCGCACATCAGAACTCCAATCAATCCAATCAAGTTTTTTATAGAGGAACTAGTATTTCCTTTCCTCAGACTTGTTTTAGGTTTTAAGTAAAAATTGAGAGCCTTTGGGCCTTAGCCCAGGAATGTTAGAAGACTTAAGAATGGCATTTTGTACTTAAAACCTCTCTGGTGTCAAAACTGGTGAATCTGCTGTTGAATAAGCCAATCAAAGGGACATCTCTTGTTCAGGATGATTCTGGGTATTTGAGAAAGGGATTCTGGAAATTCTGAGTTCTTTGAGTTCAAATACCTATTTCTAAACCTATTGCAACAGGGCTAATTTGTACTACATTTTTCAAGCGAGTTCTTATGCAAAACACCATGTCTTTTGCTGTGTGGTATACAGGAAGGAGCTTAATTAAGATGGGAATCAGCATCTAGGATCTAGTTCTGGCTCTTCCATTAAATAATGTGTGACCTTGATGTCACCGGGCTTCAGTTTTTTAAAAATGCTAAATGATCCTTAATTAGCCCTAAAATTCTGATTTGGTGAAACTAAATGGAGGAAATGATGTCTTTTACACCTGCCTCTCCTGCCTTCCTCCCAGCTACACAAATATATTGGAAGCCCTATCAGCACCATTGAATGGATACTGAAGTAACTTGCTTTTCTCATCTGGACATTTGTGTGTTCTTTAAGCTGAAATCTGAGGCCTCAACATCTACCTGCTTATCCAGGCTGAATGACTGGATTTATACCAGGTCCTTGCGGAATGCTTCAGCTTCTATGAAGGAGAACCCTGCCCTGGGAGCACTTAGCAATCTCTCCAACTCTCGGTCTCTATAATTCTAGTTATCACCAAGCGTCTTGTTTCAAACACAGTAGACCTTCCTAGACTCAAAATATTACCACTTTTCTGACTAATAGTATCCCCATTGTCTAAAATCTTATATTACTCTGCCCACACCTGCCCACTTAGATTCCTTCCAAAGAGACACCACCAGCCAGATCACACCAAGTTTCTCTCCCGAAGGAGCAACAGTGTATAGCCCAGATAGTACATTTGAATCTGGTCCTACCTAGCCTGGGCTTGTCCCTCTCTCCCTGGCAGGCACAATTGAAGCCCCAGCTGACCTGCCTTCAAACCTCCTCAACTTATGATAAGCACATACGTATATGTATATTTACATGTAAGAGCATGGAATCATTTTTCATAATTAGAATTTTCCTTCGAATTAGCCCACTCTAAAATTAATTAATTTATTGATTTATTATTTTTAAACTAACTTTCTTTATTGTGACCTTATTTCTGATGTAATCCACACAATATTTTTTTCATTTTAGGACTCCCTTGTCTAAGTCAAAACTTTTGGGTCAGGGAGATCCATGCATTACCACCAGTACATAAGAGAAATGCAGGCAGTGACTTTATCAATATATTGCATTATATTATGGCAGCAACTGTACTTTTTAAAATGCCTTTGAAAAGTATGTACACTGTTAGCTCTGAAATTAGTTTTTAGTTTTAATTTAAAACATTAACCTCTGGTTTTCGGAATTCTTCCTATTTAAATAACTGAACAATTTGAGGAAATAATGATCAAGCTATTCAAAGCAAGATCATAATTTTTCTTGTTCTCACATTTCACTCTTTTTAAATGTATTTTACTTTTCTACAATTGCCAGAGTTTCTCCTTGTGAGGCTGAGCTTCAGGAATTAATGGAACAAATTGACATCATGGTAAACAACAAAAAACTGGATTGGGAAAGGAAGATGCGGGCTCTGGAGACACGATTAGATCTTCGGGATCAAGAGTTGGCAAGTGCACAAACTTGTTTAGAACAGAAAGGTCAAGAGGTACTGCATGGATGTGTTAATAAATTGTTAATTCCTCAGACTGTTATAAATAGTATTTGTTCTGTCAGAATATATTTTTCATTGCACATACTTTTTATCAGGCATCAGCAATAGCATTTATAGCTTGAAGTTCTGTCACAGTGTGCTACATGTATTCTATCAAATAAGCGGCAAGCAGAGCTTAAACCGGTAGTAATTTGCCAATGCAGACAGAAATAAGAGTCTAGTCAATGTCATCTAGGAACGTAAACAAACATTCAATATGTATGTGAAATAAATGCTGTTTGCAAGCAAAGATGTCCGTGCTTTTGCTGCTGTAGAAACAAAGTAGTCAACAAAGCTGTGCCTTTGGATGAGGCAGAGTTCAGGAGCATTTGCCTTTTCTCATCTGCTAGAAAAATCTTTCCTAACAGAAGTAAAAGGTAAAGCCTTGATTGTAGAACAAGAGAGAAAACAGTTTGGTGAAGGGGGTGTGTGTCTACCTGGGCGCCCACTTGGGAGGAATGCCCTGGGCCCCGGTGAAGGTGCTTGTGGCCAAGCTGGTGATGGTAGAAGGAGGTCTGAGTGCTCTCGGGCCTGCAGAGGAGTTCAGGAAAGGCATACGCTTCACCTGATGTGGACTTTCATGTCTGAATTTTTCTTTGGGGTGAGGCATAAGAAACATGTTTACTGATCACATGCTAATAACTAAAACATCAAGTCAGCTTGTTCAGTGGCCGTTTTTCTACCTCTAATGGCCTCTCAATGGAACTTAGTTTTTTGTCATGGTTAACTAAGTTATTGTTTGGCCTGGTTAGTTATCAGTAGAGGCAGGTCATAAGACCTGGCATATGGAAGGGACTATTTTCTCATTTTTGTACCTGTCACAATACAGATGTGTGAACAGGGGCCTCGCCTACTTTTTAAGCAGACAAATTCTGTAAGCCAAATCCCTAAGAACTCCTCTTAGACATTTTTCTTTTTCTTTTTAATTTGTTAGTTCTTATAAAAATGTAACAATTATTCCACAACACCACTAAAACAGAGCTCCCATTGAAGGTAGTAGCACCTAAAATGAAGGCTGAAGTGTGTCTGCAGGGGTTCTGCCCCAGGGACGATGACATAAGCCTCCCAAAAAGATAATGCGAAGTAAATTTTAAATCTTGCTTTAGAATGTGCCGGTGAGAAGGGTCTTTTGTCAAACATCCATACCATACTGTCTTAATGTGTACCCAGTGGAATAGTGCTAGCTACATTTGGTTTTTGTGAATTTAATTATTAATAACTATTCTAAGAACCACAGTACAAATATTTATTCTTGGTTTGGTACAGCAGTTTTATTTGAACTGTACTCCTCTTTTGTACATTTTCTGATTTTGTCAGGCAAAATTTAGAAAAATTAAATTTTATTCTTAATTCAGGTGGGGTTACTTAGACAGAAGTTGGACAGTTTGGAAAAATGTAACTTAGCAATGACTCAGAATTATGAAGAACAACTACAAACCCTAAAAGCTCAAGTAAGGAAACTTATTACAATTTAATATTATATGTTTTGACCTATAAAATTGTGTTAATTTTGTTTAAATGAATTATTTTTAGTACAAGCAAAAGTTCTAGTATTTCAACTACAGGTTATATGTTTGGCCCTGTCTTTCATTGTTTTATGTGTATTGATTTTGCCTCTTTTATTAGATTGTCAGCTCTGTATCCCTTTAACTCTTAGCACAGTGCTAGACTAATGGCTTTCTATTTGTCAAGTGATTAGTAGATTAATTATATCATGATAATTAGCTTTGTGAACAACAACAACAAAGTATTATCTTTTGTAGTCACTACTTCCTAATAGGGGTGTCCTTTCTTCTATGGCAATTTAAAATATGGAGGTTTGCTATTATGAAATAGATATTTGAAAGAACAAAACTGGTCTTTATTGCTTTGTTACTGGTAGGGCTGTTTCATAAATGAGAGGGCTTCTGCATATATGATGAGAGGGATACTGATTTCTTTCTGATTTATCCCTATATTATACTCCCCACCGCGCTAGGAAGCAAAAAGTCTTCTCTTTCTTCCCCCAGGTGACACATAGGGCAATAAGCATCTGAGCATCTCAGGTCTCATAGGTACTGTATCCTTGCTTCACTTAGTAAATTAATCAATGGGAAATATGGTTTGATTATGAATTTTACTTTACAACCAGCTTTCTCTGGAGTGCAGAGATTTCACAGATGATAATATAGTTAAAGGAGCCCAAAGAAGTTAAAGTTCCTCCTTATGTACCTTTTTAGGGAGGTGATCAGCCATTACAATAGGAATATGAAGCATTTGATTCCACTTAATGGGTATGATCTTACAAGACTAGCTCTTAAGTCTACCTAGATATTTTGCCTGCAATTTAAATAGCTGCTGCTAGATGGTAGCTTGAATTATGAAACTTTATATGGGTTTTCCTAGTTAAGACTCTAAGCATTTAACACTTAAGTCAATCAACCTTGCTTTTTCTATAAAGATGAAGCTCTAACATAGCAACATAAATATTGAATCACTATAAGTTTTCAGTATAAACAAAGAGATCACAACCTGGAATAAGTTTGAAAAAATACAGAAATCTAGATACAAGTTAAGTACCATCTCTAAATTATATTTAACGAGTTCAGCCGCAGCTTACCAGATCTTTAATTTCTGGATTTTTTTTTTTATGTTTGTTGTTAAAAAGTTTTGGGCTTGTTTACAGGCACTGAGCAGTCATTTAATATATGAATCCTTGCCATTTGATGCTTTGCAGCTCTATTTTATTACTCAGCTGCCAGCTAGCCAACAAATGTCTTTACGGCAATTTTCACAAAAATTTGTTCTGTGTACTAACACTGAGAGCTTAGGAAATGCTGTTTACTCTTCCGCTTCTCCTGGACATTCACAGTGCATAGTAGCGTATTACAGGCTGTGAGAAGTCTTGCTCTAAAAAACATCCATTTAGCCTTTTTAATCCATCATTTTTCAAACATATTTGACCATGGAACCCTTTTGTTTTTTTTTGTTTTTTTTTGTTTTTGCTGTACGCGGGCCTCTCACTGCTGTGGCCTCTCTCCCATTGCGGAGCACAGGCTCCGGCCGCGGCTCCGAAGCTCCCCGCTCCGCCTCCCGCAATCTCTGCCCGCGAAGGGGCTCCTAGTGTGTGGAGACCTTTCCTCCTTCACAGCTCCCTCCCACTGGTACAGGTCCCGTCCCTATTCTTTTGTCTCTGTTTATTCTTTTTTCTTTTGCCCTACCCAGGTACGTGGGGGGGGGTGGTTCTTGCCTTTTGGGAGGTCTGAGGTCTTCTGCCAGCATTCAGTAGGTGTTCTGTAGGAGCTGTTCCACGTGTAGGTTTATTTCTGGTGTATCTGTGGGGAGGAAGGTGATCTCCCTATCTTACTCTTCTGCCATCTTCCTGGAAGTTCCTCAAATGGGTTCTTAAAGCACCTCAATTTTTTTTGCTGTACGCGGGCCTCTCACTGCTGTGGCCTCTCTCCCATTGCGGAGCACAGGCTCCGGACGCACAGGCTCAGCAGCCATGGCTCACGGACCCAGCTGCTCCGCGGCATGTGGGATCTTCCCGGACCGGGGCAAGAACCCGTGTCCCCTGCATCGGCAGGCGGACTCTCAACCACTGTGCCACCAGGGAAGCCCGGAACCCTTTTGTTTTTTAAACTAAAACCAACTAACACCATAGCACAGCTACAGTGTAAACACCATAAACAGGTATTTCATAGAATACACATTGGAAACACTACATTGTTGTTGAGAGAACAGCCATATGCTTCCGCTGCAGTTTTCTGCCTCTCTTTTCTTCTCTGGTTAAAAGAAAGGAAGGGAGAGAGTTAGGGGGGGAAGGCAGAAGAGAAGGAAAAGGAAAGGAGGGAAAAAGACAGAGAGAAAAAGAAAAGTACTATGTATTTGACTTGGTTTGCATAATAACTAGTATTATGTCATTTTTCTAACCAGAAAATGATATCTTGTGGCAAACATGCTTTTGTTGCTGCTGGCTCACTCTACTGCTTCTTTCTTTGAAATTCCTGATTTCTTTACAACCTTATTTTCCTAAAATATCTTAAGGGTACATTTTACCACACTCTGCCTTAAAAAACTCAACTCTGTCAAAACTTTCTTGTAGAAATTGCTTTCTTTTATAAAATGGGGTGTTTTCCTTCTAACCATTATAAAACTATAATTATATATATATTTGAGATTTCTACTTCTGGAAAGATGGAGTCAATGTACTTTCCCCTATTCTTCCTGCTAAATGGAACTATAAATCCTGGGCATTATTTATAAAACAATAAGAAGACTCTGAGAAGTGGAGAGGAAAGACAGACCAACTAGGACCTTGGGACCCAAGGAACAACATGGTGGTGAGTTCCTGGAATTTCTTTTTACCTCTTATATCCCAGACTGGATAACAGAGAAGCCAGCAGCCCAGACACTCCAGTGGGAACAATCAAACAAAAAGAGCCCCAAGGATGGCCTGCTGCCTACAATTGAAAAACAAGAAAAAAAGACAACCTACCAGGATTAAACACTTTTAGATAATAACTGCTTGACACTAGCCAAAGGCCGCAGAATAAGACTACAGCTGCAAACCCACTTCACCAGCAGAGACTGAGTGGACAGCCTTGGTTCCACGCTTACCATCTATAATGAGGTAGCCCAGGCCCCAACCTGGATGGAGTCAGAGAAGACTGAGTGGAAATCCAGGAGTTTCATCACCACTGGGTGTCAACAAGCCCCTCCCCAGACCATGGTGTCAGTGGAGACCATGTGGAGAGCCTGGACTTCTCTGCCCATCTGGTGGTGATGAGGCGGCCCTCCTCCTCTTCTCTGGAATGGTATCTGAGGAAGCCTAATGACGAGTCAGGACATTCACCACCTCTCCATAGTAACAGGGCTACTCTCCTCACTACAGCATCATTGAAGGCCATGTGAGAAGAAGTAACAAGGCACCTATGCCCCTCCAATGAAAGTAGTGTCAGTGAAAAATGTGGAGAGCCTGAACTCCCACTCCCACTCAGCAGTAATGAGGAATATCTCCTCCCAGTTACCAGCTGAGGCCAAGTTAAGACCTGGACTTTCCCTGCCAGCTGACAGCAGTGAGGCAGCATTCTATTTTTCCCTACTGGGATGTTGTCAGAAAAGGACTGCTAAAACACAATATTTAAATAAAATCCAGAGTCATGTAACACAATACCCAAAAATGGCCTCAGTTAAAAAATCACTCATCACACCGAAGCCAAGGAAGATCTCAACTTGAATGAGAATAGGCAATCAAGAGACACCAACACTGAGTTGATACAGGTGTTAGAATTATCTGGCAAGGAGTTTAAAGCAGCTGTTATAAAAATGCTTCAGTGAGCAATTACAAACATCCCTGACACAAATTAAATTAGAACGTTTTAGCAAAGAAATAAAACTAAAGAGCAAGCAGTTAGAAATTTTATAACTGAAAAATACAATAACCAAACTAAAAATTTCAGTGGATAGGCTCAAAAGCAGAATGGAGAGGACAGAGGACATAATCAGTGAACTTGAACATAGCAAAATAGAAATTACCCAATCTGAACAACAGAGAGAAAACAGACTAAAAGAAAATGAACCTCAAGGACCTGTAGTATTATTACAAAAGGTTGAAAAATTGTATCATCAGAGTCCCAGAAAAGAGGAGAAAAAAGGGTAGGACTGAAAAAGTATTCAAAGAAGTAATGACTGAAAAGTTTCAAAACCTGGCAAAAGATGTAAATCTACAGATCCAAGAGGCTGTGTGACACTCAAATATGATAAATCCAAACAAATCTACACCAAGACACATCATGGTCAAAGTTCTGAAAACTAAGACAAAGTCTTGGAAACAGGAAGAGAGAAATAACACTTTGCCTATATAGAAAAACCAATTCAGATAATGGATTTCTTATCAGAGACCATGGAGGCCAGAAGGAAGTGGAATGTTTTTCAATTGCTGAAAGAGAGAAAGTGTCAACCCAGAATTCCATGTTCAGAGAAAATATCCTTAAGAATCAAGAGGAAATTGAGAAATTCTCAAATAAAGGAAAACTAAGAGATTTTGTCAGTAATAGATCTGCCCTAAAAGGATAGCCAAAGGAAGTTCTCTTGGTAGAAAGGAAATGATAAAGACTTCTGAGACATCAGGAAGGAGGAAGAAAAATATTGGAAAAAGTGAAAACATGGGTAAATGCAATAGACTTGACTTCTCTTGAGTTTTCTATTGATAAATTGTTTGACAGCTGAAGCAAAAATTATAACAGTGTCTAAAGTGATTCTTAATGTATATTGAGAAATTTCTTAAAGACAGTAATGTTAGAAATGTGTCATGGCAAAGGGACATAAAGAGAACTAAGATGCTGCACTTCACTTGAACTGGTAAAATGTTGACACCAGTAGATTGTAATAAGCTATGTATCTATAATGTTACACCTAGAGCAATAACTAAAAATGCTATACAAAGAAATACATTCAAAAAATACCATAGATAAATCAAAATGGAATTCTAAAAAATGTTCAAAGAATCCAGAGGAAGTCAGGAAAGCTAAAACAGAGAAACCAAAACCTGGATAACAAACAGAAAACAAAAAATATAAGGCTTAAACCCTAACATAATAATAATTACATTAAATGAAAATGGTCTAAATACACGTGTTAAAAGATAGAGATTTACAGAGTAAATTTCAAAAATGACCAAACTATATGCTGTGTTCCAGAAACTCACTTCAAATATAACTACATATGTAAATTGAAAGTAAAAAATAGAAAAAACAAAAAAAGAAAAATATATACCCTACAAATATTAATCAAAAGGAAGCAGAAGTGGTGCCAAAATAATTCAATGGAGAAAGAATAGTCTTTTCAACAGTGACAGGACAACTGGATATCCACATGAAAAAGAATTAAGTTCAACCCTTACCATAGACAAAAATTAACTCAAAATGGATCAAAGACCTAAATATAAAAACTAAATCAGTAAAACTCTTAGAAGAAAACATAGGAGTAAATCCTTATGATTTCGGATTAGGCAATAGTTTCTTAGATTTGGCACCAAAAGCACAAGAAAAATTAGGTAAATGTGATTTCATGAAAAGTTTAAAAACCTTTGTGCTTCAAAGCACACCAAAAGAAAGTGAAAAGACAACCGACAAAATGGGAGAAAACATTTGCAAACCATATATTTGATAAGGGACTAGTGTCCAGAATTAAAAAAAAAAACTCTTACTAGTCAACAATAAAAAGAAGACCAAATTTTAAAATGGGCATAGGTATAAATAGGCGTTTCTCCAAAGGAGATATATAAATGACCAATAAGCACATGAAAAAGTGCTGAACATCATTAGTCATTAGGGAAATGCAAATCAAAACCATAATGGGATACCCCTTCACACCTGCTGATAGCTATAACCAAATGATAGATAACAGCAAATGTTGGTGAGGTTATGGAGAAATTGGAACCCTATACATTACCACTGGAAATGAAAAATGGTGCAGCCACTTTGGAAAACTGTTTGGCAGTTCCTTAAAAAGTTAAACTTAGAGTTTCCATATGACCCAGCTATTCTACTCCTAGGTATATACACAAGAGAAATAAAAACATATATCCACACAAAAACTTGTACACAGATGTTCATAGTAGCATTTTTCCATAATATCTAAAACGTGGAAACAATCCAAATGTCCATCAATTGATGAATGGATAAACAAAATGTGGTATATCCATGCAATGAAATATTATTCAGCCATTAAAAGGAATGAAATATTGATACATGCTACAACATGGATGAACCTTGAAAGCATTATGCTAAGTGAAAGAAACCAGACACAAAAGACTACATGTTGTATGACTCCATTAATATGAAATGATCAGAATAGGCAAATCTATAGAAACAGAAAGTAGATTAGTTGTTGCCAGGCCTTGGGGAAGGAGGAAATGTGTAGTCACTGTTAATAGATATAGGGTTTCTAACGGAGGTGATGAAAATATTCTGAAATTAGATAGTGTGATAGTTATACAACTATGAATATACTAGAAACCAATGAAGTGTATACTCTAAAGGGTGAATTTTATAGTAGGTGAATTATATATCAACTTTAAAAACAATGTGAGAAGGAAAAAGGAAGCAGCAATGACTACATTACTGTCAAGATAAAGTAGACACAATTGTTCACAGCTTTACTTATAATAGTCAAAAACTGGGAGCAACCAAAAACGTCTCAATATGTGAATGGTCAAACAAACTGTGGTTACATCCATACCATGGAATAATACTGAGCAATAAAAAGGAATGAACTATTGATACACTCGTGCACATATTGTACTGACATCCATTTCCTGGGTTTGATACTGTACTATATAGTTCAATAAGATGTAAATATTTGGGGAAACTGGATGAAGAGGACCCAGAACCTCTCTGTAATATCTTTGCAACTTCCTCTGAATCTATACTTATTTCAAGATAAAAAATAAAAACAAAAAAAACTTGTTGTTTAGAAATTTCCTATCAACAGATGTTGATAGACCATGACACTTATAATCAATTACTTGAAAGTAGAAGCAAGAAAAAAAATAATACAGAGTCTAAGTTATAACAAGAATTACTGGTAAGAAAAAGATCATATCAAGCTTGATATTTAATTTTATTTAAACTTATATCAACATGAATAAGTGTATGTTGTTTGTATCTTTTAAATTAAGTCCTCAGTTTTCTTAAATGGAGTATAAGTTGGTTATTTTATAGATTGAGTTACTGAAATTAAAATCGTCAACACAAGATGTCACTAAATAAAAATAAGAAAAAAACTTGGTTGTTTTAAATTTTGAGCCTTGCTACATATGGTTAAGACAAAACTGAACAAAACATTTTATCAAGTGAATCGCTGTTTAACTGTGCAGTTAATGAAGTTCCAAATTTACATGAAAGCTAAATTGTGTTCAGCTTCAATAATTTAGTTTTAATAACTAGTTCTATCTTCACTAATTGGAACATTTAAGCTTTACTGCATTTCCTAATCATGACTTAAATTTTGAAAGAGGTACACAAGAAAAGAACTATCGTGAAATCGAGTTAGAAATAACCAATAGTAAAATGTTATCATTCTGTATTATTTACAGTTCTCCAAACTAACTAATAGCTTTGAAAAACTGAGATTACACCAGATGAAACAAAATAAATTTCGACAAAAAGAAGTACCACACGTCAAAGAAGAAATACCCTTTGAACTGAGCAGTTTGAACCAGAAATTAGAGGTGAGCTATATTTTCTTAGTTTCTCCCTGTGTATTGAGATTGGTTTTTGTTGTTGCTGTTGAGGGCTATTTGTCTCTAGTGTACACAATGACATGTACCGCTGTGGTAACAAACTCCATTAGAAATCAACTTCTCATTGAATATATTTTCTTAGTGCATCTTCCCTTCAGGCACTTAGTGAATTAAAACATCACTTCGATTTATACATCTTTTATGTATATCAGCATTTTTGGAGAGCAAAAAAAAAAGTTCAAAGGAACTGCAGGTGTTGAGTGAAATTGAAGGACATCCCTGGGGTCACTTAAAGCGAGTGTCTAGTAAATCTTTTAATGGCTGTTTAACTATTAGGTACTTAAATCCCAATGAAGCCTCATAGCAGTTTTCAGAACAGAGCTTGAAGTTTCAGGATCTTTTCTTTGAAGAGGTAGTGCCACTCCAATATAGCTACCCCATGTTACCCGGAACTTCGAAAATCTCAGTCCCTATAAAGGTTTACTATGGCGTAGATACACTTATTTTAATCCCCTTAACTTTCCAACCTTGGAAAAAATAAACCAGCTATTTT